TACTTCCTTCCCATAGTGGTTCAGGCAAACCAAACCAACATCTGATTTACCCTAACCCTAATACATAGCAGTGTTTCTGAACTAAGTCGAGGAGAAAACAGAACACCAATGTCAAGCAAAGCAGAAAAAAGCACATAAACATGTTTCCAAGATAAGCTCTGAAACGCAAAAACAGCGTTGTGAATTAACTACAGAAGAACACATAGCAGTGTTTCTGAACTAAGTTGAGAAGAAAACAGAAAAGTGATATATAGCAAAGTACAGAAGAGCACAGAAAAGTGAACAGCTTAAAGAAGTCAGGGAAAGATGGAGACTCACATCATTAGCTTTTTTCCACGCTGTACAAAGGTACAAGCCAGAGCAATCTGAGAAAGGGCAGAAGCAGGCAGTGGAAAAGCATCTAAGTTAGTAAGGTGTCCTGGTTGGTTGGTTGATGATTGATTGATTGATTTTGTCGTCATGACATAAGCTAGAGCCATTTGGAAAGAGGAATCTCATTTGAGAAATTGCCTCCATCCGTTTGGCCTGTGGACAACTCTGTGGGGCATTTTCTTGATTAATGATTAATGTAGAAAGGCCCAGACCACTGTGGGTGGGGAGGCCCCTGGGGAGGGAGGCAGTCCTAGGTTGTGAAAGAAAACAGGCTGAACAGGCCTGGAAAGCAGGCCAGGAAGCAGCATTCTTCCATGGCTTCTGCATCAGCTCCTGCCTGACTTCCCTCAGTGTGACCTGAGACTTGCAAGCTTAAATAAACCCCTTCTTCTCCAAGCTGCTTTCAGTCACAGCATTTCAGCTCAGCAATAGAAACCCTAAGATGCACTCGCCTAGCATACATGAAGTCCTGGGTCCAATCCCCAGTTCTGCAACGGAACAAAAAAAAAAAAAAAAAAAAAAGAAAGAAAAGAAAAGAAAGGAATTTTTCATTATTTGAAGTGTGTTACTGTAAAGTTTGGACACATGAGAATAAAAAAATGTGGAGCCTGTAGAGATGGCTCATGGTGGGGTGCCTGTCATTCAGGCCATGGCCTGAGCCTGGAAACCAGACAGGGTAGCATGCCTCTGTGCCTCCAAGGCTGAGGGTGGAGGAGGCCGGCACATGCAGAGCTCAGGCAATGGGCTCCAGCTTCGGTGAGAGACCCTGTCTCAAAAAAACAAGGGGGGAGCTGGAGACATAGTTAAGAGCGCCTTTTCCCCTCCAGCAGACAGCGCCTCCGTTCCCAGCAAGCGTGTCAGGCAGCATCCAATAGCCTGTAGCTCTAGTTCCAGTACACACACACAGTAGATAAAATCAACAAGTCCTTTTTTAAAAGCGTATTTTAAATAAATAGATAAGGTGGAGCGTGATCAAGGAAAACACCCAAAGCCAACCTCTGCCCTTCACAAGCACAAGCACATATGAGCATGTGTACCCGCACACACGTGTGTGTGCACGCCCACAGGAACATGTATATTCAAAACACACATATACACACACACAGTCAGAGAGCGTATCATATTGTCCAACAACAAAATGAACGCACACAGTTAATATCTGTCCTATAAGTAAATGACCTGGGAACTAGAAAAAATATATATAAATCCTAAATGGAAGCGAAAAGTGTTAAGAATCAGTTTTAGAAAATTATTTTTAAAAATAGGCCAGCAAGATGGCTCAGCAGGTCACGGTGCTTACTGTGCAAACATATGACCTGAGTTCAAATCCCAAAAGCCACATAAAGGTAAAAGGAGAGCACCAACTCCACAAAGTTATCCTCAGGCCTCTGCACATGGACATGGCACATGCACACACACACATCAGACACACAGAAATAACTATTTTACCTTGTACTAGAGAACCGCCCCCCAAAGGCCCAGGAGCCAATAGACCAGTCGTTGGCGGAAGTGAAGGGGGAGACAATAAGGAGAATGGGTGAAAGTGCGGTTTGGGAAGCGGGTGGAAGGCTAGGTGTGGAAAGGTCTGGAAAGCCCTGAGTTCCGTCCTCAGCACAGGACGGGGTAGGACCCTCAAGGAATTAAAGTCTTGGAAACCATTGCCCTGCCCCACACCTTAGCCTCACCCCAATAAGAGAGTTAAAGTTTGTCTCTGTGACGAGTAGGGTAGAAGGTGGCACTGGAGGGCTGGCTACTGACTGACCATCGGGCTGAGGTGAGAGGCGCAGCCTTGTCCCTCCTCTGTGAGCAGCTCACCAGGAAGCCGAGCTTAAGATGCAGACACCAGGGCAACAGGGTAGAATCTGACCAAAATACATGGCATTAGAGTCTCAAAGGATGAGCGCAATGTCTTTAGAAAGGGTGTCGACACCAATGAAACTATGGGGTCAGAGCACCTACTAATCCTCCCCAGGACTCCAGGTTTCTACCAATGCCTGATGGGCATCAGGAGAAAACTTTTAACGTAAGCTACGAAAATCAGAATGTGCCAATAGGGAGCAAATAAAAACAGGCAGGAAGTCAGTAATGCCAGACGGAGATAAAGAACTAAAAAAAAAAAAAAAAAAAAAGAACCAAAAACATTCATTGAGATTCTCCAGAGAAAAAAAGAATTTGATCTATCCTGGCCCCTCTGTATGGGGAGGTGGGGAGGTGTGCGTGTTTCTTTCCCTCTGTGATGCTGGTCTCAGGAACCAAACCTGGGTCATCAGGCTTGACAGCAACCAGCTTCACCAACTGTGCCATCTTGCCGGCCTGGGCAAGGGGTGGATGGTGTAGAATTACCATAAGGCACTGACTTGTGTAGTTCTGGAAGCTGACAGGTCTCCAGATATGCTCTCTAAAGGCCTGAGAACCAGGAGAGCTCATGGCTGCCAGCCCCTTTCCGAGTCCAGAAGCAGGCGAAGGGCAGTGTCGCAGCCTGAAGTTGCTCAGACAACAAGTGCTTCCTTACTCCGACATTTTGTCTGCCAGGCAAGAGATGGTCAAAGCGCCCTGCCCACACTATTGTAGGGAATTTGCCTTACATTCATCCCTCCTCCTCTGCAGGAGACCCCAGTGGATGCCTGATGCCCTAGATAAAATCACGCTTTTTTCTATCTATGCACACTGATAATAATGTGTAATTTACAGATTAGGCTTATCATAAGATGGACTATTACCATTTAAAAAGGAGGCTGGAGAGGCGGCCCAGCAGCACCCATGAGCTCTTGTAGAAGTTCTGGGTTCAGTTCCCAGCACCCACACGACAGCTCACAACCATCTCTAACTCCAGCTCAAGGGGAACCAATGCCTTCTTCTGGACTCCGAACCTCTTAGGGCACCAGGCACACACACAGCACACATGCATAGCCGCAAGCAAACACTCATACACATAAAAGAAAGATAAATCTTTTTAAGTACTGAAAGAAAGAAAACGAAGACCCAGAGAGGTTAGTTAACTCTTCCAAAGTCACTTAGCTGGCAAATAGAGAAACCAGGGTTAAAGCACACATATCCTTATATCTATGAATGGATGGTGGATGAAAAGACTCCAAACCCTTCATAGTGCCTATGTCTGCACAATGGTGCTGAAGGTCTAAGGCGGTGGTTCTCAACCTCCCTAATGCTGCAGCCCTCAAATACAGTTCCCCATGGTGTCCTGACCCCCGACCACAAAAGTATTTTTGTTGCTAATTCATAACTGTAATTTTGCAGCTGTTATAAATTATAATGCAAATATATGATATGCAGGATATCTGAGGTGCGGCCCCTGTGAAAAGGTTCTTCAACCTCAAATGGGTCTCCTACCCACAGGTTCAAAAAAAAAAAATTTTTTTTTTTTACTTTTCTCTTTCAGTTAGGATTACCAAATGAAAAATACAGGACTCCACTTAAACGTGAACTCTTTTTCTTTTTCACTTTCTTCTTTCTTTTTTTCTTCCTCCTCCTCCTCGACTTCAAACTCATAGAGATCTGTCTGAGTTAGTATTGGAATAACAGGTATCACATCCTGCAAATTTGAATTTCAACCACAGAACAAATTGATTTTTAGTGTTTCCTGAGCAGTTAAAAATTAAGTAAGGGGAGGCAGAGGCAGGCAGATCTCTGTGAGTTCCAGGCCAGCCTGGTCTACCAAATGAGTCCAGGACAGCCAAGGCTACACAGAGAAACTGTCTCAAATATAAAATAAAATAAGACTGGGCATACTGGTACACACCTTTACCCCAGCACTTGGGAGGCAGAGGCAGGCAGGTCTCTGTGAGTTCCAGGCTAGCCTGGTGTACCGGGGGAGCTCCAGTCCAGGCAAAGCTACACAGTGGGACCCTGTCTCAGACGTGCAAAGTGAAATGAAATGCACGAGTTTGCTGTCCGACATTCACACTCAACTGAGTGTGCCTATTTGTATTTGCTAAAGCAGACAGCCTTGTTTTAGTCCACCTCCCGCTGGCACGGCCAGCAATTCCTTGGTTCCACCACAATGAAATACCAACGCTCCAGGAATTCTGCCATCCACTGATAAGACTGATTCAGACGTTCAGGTTGCTCCACGCGGTGGTGACATATTAACTAGGGGCGATTCAACAGCCATGCCTGGACCTCTGTCTTTGGTTTAATATTTTATTTTATTGACTGAAAACGAAGCTCCATCAATTGGAAGAAAACTGTTCCAAATTCGTGATCCAGTTACGGTTTGTCTCAGGCTGGTCCTCAGGAGACTTCCCCCTGCGCCTCACAGAGATGTCCCTACTGCTGAAAAGGCCGGCATGGCTCTTAAGCAGCGTGCAGGCTGCTGGCGTGGCACCCCGGGCTGGCAGCTGGAAGGGCGTCCCACACAGCTTGGGAGAGGAAGGACTTTTGCTTCTGGCGCTCTGCCTTGAAGATGTCACTTTGAATGTCACTTCCTAGCTGCTTACGAAACCTGAAATAACAAAGCGACACAGTACTTCTGGGCCCCACGCTGTGCCACGGGGTCACAGTTAAACAAACGCCAGCTCCATTGTTAAAGAGAGACCGACTGCAGGCTCAGGGCAGCCCAGCCCCAGCGGCAGCCGCACGCCTGGTCGCGCGCGCCCCCTGCAGGCCTCCGGCGGGATGGCGGAGGAAGCGCTTCTGAAGAAGACTCCAAGGTCATTTGAAACACAGCCCTAGAGCGCGCTGGGCTCTGCTTGAAGGGCTGCTTTGAAAGGAGAAAGAGAGGTGTCATTCCAGAGAGCAGAATCAAAGGTAGAGGACCCAGCGACTTGAACCCGGGCTCTGCAGAGAACACAGCATCTTCGGTCTGTGTAAAGGCTCCCGGGCAAGGTTAGTGCTCCGTCCTCTGGCTTGGCGGCTGGCGCTTTGCCTGCACGGAGTGAAAGTGCTGTGGGTGAGTGATTCGGACAGAATCAAAGTACGAACGGTGTAAAGCCCTAAAGTCTGGCTTAGGGGTTCCATGGTTCGAAGGAGTACTTGCCCCTCAGGAGGAGATGGGCGGTGGACATGGAGGGAGGAGTCCAGCGAGCTTATTTAACATCCCGCTGGCCGCACAGACGCTGCCGGGAGTGGATCCAAGACCCTGCGCCTGCTCTATAGGCCTGCGATCAACCGGCTACATCCCTGCCGAGTCCCACACACTGCTTTCTTTTTAAACCTGTGTTTATTGCGTGTTCGCAGGGGTAAGCGCAGGCAACACAGGCCACGGAGGATGTGCTGAGCTCAAAGGATAACACTCAGAGCTCTCCAGACACCTTGTGGGGCGCAGGGATCAAGTCAAGTCCCCAGGCATATACAAAAGCGCCCCTTCTCTGCCTGCTCAGCCAGCCCTGCTACCCTCCATGTTCCTCTCAAGGCACAGCGGAGCTGGCCTTTCCCTATTTCTGTATCTGCAAGTGATGGTTTCACTGGCTGCCAACAGGTAGGTTCTGTCCAATTTGTAGCAACAATTACGTAAGGTTAAGTTTATGACCTAACATTTCTTTAGGGTCCTTTCAGGGCTGGGATGGTAGCCACTGGTAAAACACCTGCCAGGCAACTGTAAGGATGAGAGTTTGAATCCCAAGAACACACATAAAAGCCGGGCACAGTCGCACACGTGTGTAGTCACCGCTCTCCTACAGAAGGATGAGGCTGGGAGACAAGAGAACTCTTGGAGACTCACGGGCCAGGTAGCTTGGCATACCCAGCGTTTTAACTTGTCCGATCCAGCCCCAAGCAAGGGGCCAGGTCAGGGAATATTGTCCTCTGACCTCCAGGCACAGCCTGTGGCACAACCTCATCTACACTCACACCCAATTAAAAGAAAAACTGCCCTTCAAATTTGCCCATTTTCCCATCAAGGAGAAGATGGAAGAATTTATCCCTCATCTTGCAGTTGAGAATTTTCCCTAACTCAGGAATAATGAAGCCTAAAGTTCTCTTTTCATAAGATAAGGTCACACACAGCACACGCTGGGCCCCATCTCCCCAAGTACCCGAGGCTGGCCTCAAACACCTGGTCTTCCTGCTTCCACCTCCAAATGCCAGAATTACACCTATGCACTCCATAGCTGGCAGAAGTCATATAGATAAGGTATGATATAATGTTCCCCATGGTTGATGAGGTGGCTCAGTGGATTAGGGTGTCCATGCCAAGACCAACAGCTGAGCTCAGTCCTTGGGACCACATGGTGGAAATCAGTCCCACAGTTATCTTCTGACCTCCATGTGAATGTGTTGGCATACTCTCTCACAGGTAGGTAGGTAGACATATAGATAGAAATCTAATATACAAATATTTCATTAACCCCTGACACACAACTCTACAGCAACAGGACCAAAAGATGAGCACAGAGAATGGGAAACTGTCACAAATAAGTAGGTCAAACCCCAGTTATATCTGGTCTACCACCTGCAAAAGGACCAGACAAATACTAAAAGGAATTTTCAACTCTGCTCTGATAAATGGAGGCTGAAGCAATGAATGAGAAGAGAATTATAAACCAGTCAAAAGGCAAAGAAACATGTGAGTTTAATGACACGACCTCAACGTTTGAGCTTTAATTAACTTATAAACTCATTTATTTATTTGTGCATGTGTAATGTGTGTGTGTGTGCCATGTATGTACAGGTGCCTGTGGAAGCCAGAAGAGGGTGTCAGATCCCCTGGATCTGTGGGTGCTCAGAACCCAACTCCAGTCCTTGGCAAGAACAGCGACCACTAAGCCATCTCTCTAGCCCCAGTTTTGGTTTTATGAAATGCTGCAATCAATCTAAGCATAACTCACTGGGTAATCTGGAACAAAAAAATTCATGGTTTCACAATTCACAAGAGAGATTAAGGTAGAAATGAAAAGTCCTTTAAAATCAGCAAATAAAAGCAAATTACTTATCCTAGCTTTTGTGGGGGAAGATACATTTTCAGGCAGAAATGGTCAGCTTAGTAGGGGCTGGGGAGATGGCTCTGCAGATAGAATGCTTGCTTTACGAACATGAAGAGCAGAATTTAGATCCCCAGCCTCACACAAAAGCTGGGCCTGCCCAGAATCCCAGCACTGCTGATGTGGTGACATTAGGGCAAGGTAAGTTAGAATCTGAGGATTCTGAGTTCTGCTAGTGCCCCTGCCTCAGGAAATAAAGTGGAGAAGGATCAAGAAAGGCATTTGACATCAACCTCTGGCCCCTGAAAACGTGCACACTCATCCCCATCCACCCCCCCCCATGCACATACACATATGCACAGAGACCACACACATATACATGCAAAAAGAAAGAATGGGAGGGAGGGAAGGAGAGAGAGAGAAGTTCCACTTGGTCCCAGGACCAATGTATGGGAATTAACCCTCGCTAAATCATATCATTGTGAAAACCCAGAACTGTAAGGATAAAAAGAAGAACGGAGTAGGTTTCCTGAGATAGAAAAGGTCAGCAAAAAAAGATCAGACATCAGTGGCTGTGGATTTCTTGACAGTAGTACCAGAAGCTATGAGAATCCTAGAAGGCTTTTTCACACAGCCTTTCTTGGAAAGCTGCTAGAATATACGCTTTAACAAAATTAAGGTGGATTGAAGAATGAACACAATATTGGAGATAAATAGTTCCAACACAAGAGGGAATCTATTTTATTGTAAATCATATATATATGTATGTATATATGAGTGCTTTGCCTGCATATATGTTTGGGCATCATATGCTTGTAGAGCAGAAGACGGTGCTAGTCCCCTGGGACTGGAGTTACAGGTGGCTATGAGCCACCGTGTGGGTGCTGGGAATCAAACTCAGGAGCTCTGAAAGAGCTGAGAGTGCCTAACGGCTGAGCCATGTCTCCAGCCCTAACAGAGGAGGGAATTTAAGGATGTGAGGGCAGAGCATTCCAGAATTATCTCATTCTTTTATCATTTGGCTATCCTTAAAAAGCGTTTGGTATTTATCTGGGGAAAAAAAAAGGAATTTTATTCGATATTATATAAATATTCAATATTATTACAAAACAATATTATTACAAAACAATATTATTATAAATTGCTGATTAATTCCACAATTGAGATAAATAATGCACAGAGCAGGAGGGCATAGTGCTGCATGCCATTGATCCCAGCACTTGGGAGGCAGAGGCAAGTGGATCTCTGTGAATTCAAAGCTAGCCTGGTCTACAAAACAAGTTTCAGGATAGCCAGGGCTACAGAGAGAAACCCTGTCTGAAAAAATAAAAAAGGTAACTATGTAATAATGTGTTCTATCATGGGATACTATGAAGAGCATTGTTAAGTTTCACTTACGTTTTATTTACCTGCCTTGAGACAAGGCCTCATGTATTCTAGGCTGGCTTCAAACTCACCGTGTTCCTGAGAACGACCTTGAACTTCTGACCTGTGTGTGCCATCTGCCGAGTTTGCAAGGCACTGCACTGGGGACCTGTGGCTGACTGAGCCACGCCCCTCAGCTGAGCTGAGCTTTTCTTGCCTGTGACCTCGGGATTCTGATTGCTAAATTGGTTACTTTCATACATTTGTTTCACACCCCCCAAAATTTTGATGTAGACCTCTAACCCCTCCCTAAACTGTAAACCAATTTTATCTATGCCCATTAAAAGAATGGAATAATAAATTTTGAGGATATTGTAACCGAGGATTTATTGGCCATGTATTGTTGAAGTTCTGGCTAGCGACATTTTTTTTATGTCTCAGTCAGTATTAGAGTTGTTCCCATGTGAAGGGCTCAGCAATTTGTGTTACCTGCTCTGTTCAGTCTTCTTGATTTCCCTCTTCTTGTGTGTGGCCAAGATCTTCGGGTGGTCTTTCTCTGTCATATCTGATTTTTATTAATTTTGATGGAACCCATGATTTCTCTTCTCCTGTATGAATACACACAACACTTCTTCCCCGGCGTAGCACATTCCCTGCTCTCCATTGGTCCTTTCTCAACGCCACTGTGTCTTTGCAGGTGTGCTACTTACCTCATTTAAACACTTTTAAATTGATAAATAATTAGTCAATCTATTTTGGGGAGATATTATATTTCCCATCTTTTAAAATTACTGTTAGATATTTTCCTAGTTGTTTGACCTGTAGGATTATAAGTTATATGTGTTATAGGTTTCATGTCATAATGTCTAACACATTGTTGAATTCCAATGGATATGCATGCTGAAGCACCATCAGCCCCAATTTGCAAGGGCATCTGCAAAACATTCATCATCTCTAACAAATGTGTAACCTTAGGATCATGCTCTCCAGAATTTAAGGCAAAAGCCCCCCTGGAATTCTGACTATGAATCTATGGCATGATGCACATATTTCAGTTCTCCAAACTCTGTAAAGTTGACCACACCAGCATTGGATCACCTTGTTCCAAGACAGCACTAAACAGGATCTGCATTTCTACTTTAGCATATAGGCCTTCATCTAGTAACTGAACCTTAAGAATATACATACAATATCCAGTCTGACCAAGCTGGCCTATAGCTGAAGACTTTCTCTCCAGCATCTCAATGGGCTGCCATTTTGCAATATCTTCAAGCCTCTGTGGACTTTTCTCATCTGGAACCACCTCATTTGTGTTATTTGTAAGTACTAAATTGGATTGCTCTGAAGGCTCTCTATTTTGATTCAAAGATTTCCCCAACCTCTGTTCTATGACCTTTAATTTAGCATCTGTTATCTCAGTCTCTTCTTTCTCCAAGTCTGTCTTATCCTGATCTCCCCCAAAGAGGATATACAAAACTGAAATCATCAGTGAAAAAATTATTTGTATGCTAAGAGAAACAAACCCAAATGGTATTCAGAAGCACTGTGTCATTGTGTCTTCCTCCATTTTCAACATAGAAAACTGTCTTTTTCAATCTCAAAACCTCTAAGGACTTTACTTTCTTAGACCCAGCTGCCCTTTCAGACCTTACTCGTTCAGATGCTTGAGGCTTCTCTGTCTGTCTCTGGCTCCTGCTTCCAGAGAGAGGTATTTTTTTCTGCCTCCCTCACTGGATCCTGACCCCTTCCTCACTCTGGGAACTTATTAGGTCCACAAATGTTTGCTCCTCAGACCAGCAAGAAGCCCATCTGAAAGGGCCTTCTGCTTTGGCTAGTAAAGTCTGGCTTTTAGAAGCTTCCTTATTAAAGAGCCACTTTTTTTTTTTTTTTTTTTTCCCCTGCAGCCTGCTGGAAGCCTTGCTGCTCTGCAGGGGGTCTGCCTAATTAGGAATCTGTGCGCTCCTAGTTTAAGAACTGCCATTGCTTTGTTTTTAAGGAACAGGACTGAAAAACTGCTCTAAAGTTTTACCTTCTTGCTAGATTACTGTAAATTCTGCCCCACATTGGTATGCCATTTTTTGTTGATTATTAATATTTATTGTTGATTTATCTTTTAAACAGTGGTTATTCTTCACCACAGAGACACTAGGATTTATTTAATTAACCTAGAGCACGGTGCTGGGTAATAGTTACTCCATCCTAAACCTCAAAGCCTGCATAGTTTCCTCCCATTCAGATTTCCCACATTATACTTGCTTTTAGTCAGATCTTACCAAATGAACTAGATGAATGAGATGCAGTTCATCTCTAGTTCCATGTCCTCTCCACCGATCTCTCCTCTCCAACTACTTTCCCACTCACTTCTTTCTCCTCCCCACCAGACCAGGATGTCCCACACTATTCTCTCCATTGCTCAGCACTGGCTGGTTGTTTTATTGACAATGTAGAGAACAAATGGTGGCAGGTTTACACAAACGTGAGACAGGTGATGCTTAGAATAAACATCACGATGCAATGTCCAGATGGAAACCAGAGAGTGGGGGAGAGAAAGCAGCATTTGGATGAACAAGGGTAAGGTGTGTACATTCCACTAGAACATTATACCAACACGTGTGATACCCTGGCTCCATTCTCTCTCTCTCTCTCTCTCTCTCTCTCTCTCTCTCTCTATCTATACATATATTTTTATGTGTACAAGTGTTCGGCCTGGTGTAAGTATATGCACCAGATCCCCTGGGACCGGAGCTATGGTGTTTGCATACCTTTAAAAAACACTTTTATTTACATTTCTTATATCTCTTTCTCCCTATTCCGCTCCAATCCTTTCCAACACCCCAACACCAGGTGGGAAAAAGGAAGGGTTAGTGGGAGAGGAGGCACAGTTCTCTCAGCTGCTTCCTGCTGGTTTGGGTCATCAGGTTCCTTGGAGCCAGTCCAATCCTCATTTCAGGAGATCTCCAACTTGTCTCACTGTATCAACAGCAAACAGGAACCACAGGGCAAGTAGCAACAGCCTTGTTCTTTCTTCTTTGGAGCTCCCCAACACTCCTTGGGCTCTGGCATTTATTTTTCTCTCCAGAGTCCTCAGATATAAACTGTTTGCAGCTGACAACAAGCTCCTCTTAGAGGCTACAGGTGGCAAATAGTTCGCTGCTGTGACCTATCTGAATCAGTCCCACACTCCACACCTGAGATTAAAACAAAGCCATGTTTATATCCACAGCACTACGGATGGTTGTAAACCACCATCTTGGTTCTGGGAATCAAACCTGAGTCTTCTAATAGGGGACTTAACCACTGAGTCATCTCACCAGTCCCCTGTGTGTGTGTGTTTTTTAATTAAAAACTTATAATTGTGTGATGTGTGTGCAAATCTGTGCTTATGCCATGCCATGAATGAAGATCAGAGAAGAGATACTGAAAGTCATTTCATTTTACCACAGTCTCTGGTGATAACATTCCACTTGTCGAGTTTGTGTGGCAAAGCCACTCAGGTATCTTACAAGCCCAGTGTTAAAAGAATTTTTTTCTTTTTTTTTAAGTTAGGAGATCTAACCTACTATATGGTAAGCAAGATCCATCCATCCATCCAGTCCAAGAGCAGATATGTCTGAAAAAAGGTTTTCTCTATTTAATGAGTAATATTTTGGGGTGGGGATAATGGTGTTTGTGGAGGGACTTTTTAAACAACAACAAAACACCTGACTGACTGAGGACTAGTCTTCTCTATTGGGGGTTCTGAATTCAAGGCAGGCTTAGTTATTTGTATGTTGCTGTGGTAAGACATCATGACCCGTGCTATAGAAGAGAGGGTTAAATGGCCAGGAGCACGGCACCAGGTAGGCACAACACTGGAGCAGTAGCTGAGAGCTCAGATCTAATCCATACAGCAGCAGGCAGAAGCAGGATTTAAGTAGGAATGGCAAGGGCTTTTGAAACCTGAAAGCCCTCTCCCAGTGACACACCTCCTCCAAACAGGTCAACCAACTGGGGAACAAGCATTTCAAATATATGAGCCCCTAGTGGAGCCATTCTTATTCAAACTACCACAGATGCTCTTAGGGTCAAGCTCCTGACGGTGGCCTTTGCATTCCCCAGCAGCAAAGGCGTCTACCATTTTCTTCAGCCCTGGCTGGTATGAAGTCCTGTGGATGAGGCGTTTGTGCCCCTTCCTTTGCCTACCTGGCTATTAAGACAATGCACCCCAAGGAACAGGAGTTGGAAAAGACTAGGAGTCTGGTGTGAACCAGAACCAGAGCTTGTCTCCCAGAAAGACATTTCTTATGGTTTCTTCAACTTGTCAGAGTACCTTGCAAGGCAGACTGGCCTTGTCAAGACGAGGATGGATCAGTGATAGACCAGGACCACCCCTTGACCAGCACTGCCCTTTATTTAAAGCTAAACCTCATGTCAGGACTTTGAAGGAACCTTGAGGGTGGGGATAGGGTCACTGGACCTCTTTGTCCCTCTTCCCAATGTGGCAATATCTCTGTGTTTTCACTATTGCTTATCTCTTGTCCTATTGGGGACATATGTCTGATCCTAGCTTATTAGGGCTGCCAGGTTCCAAGATCAACTACAACAACTCCAGTAACAAAAGTATCAGCCTCTTCCTACAGGGAATCTAGGGTCTGGTCATATGTGAGCGCCTAAACGGAGATCATTTAATAGGTATTTAAATGCGTGTCACAAAGTACATCCGCACATACAAGCCTCTCTAAGAGAAAAACGACTTGTCTTAAAGCGACGCAGCTGAAAACTATCCAGTATCTCTTCTACCGCTCTGTGGCTGCCGTCGGACCCTGAAGTGTTGTGTGTTTTTGTTGTTTTGTTTTCCCTCAACCTCCGGGACACCGCGAAAACAATGGCAGTCCCAGCTCCTCTCCTCGGCTGTCCCTCCGCGCAGCCGCAGGACGCAGGCGGGCTGGACGCGGAAGTAAGCGCTTCCAGCGTTGTTCCGCTCCCCGAACCCCGAGAGTTGGTCTTTTAAGTTGGCTCCTCTCACTTTTTTTCCTTTTTACATCAAGACTTAAAAAAAACCAAAAAACCAGAAGAAAAGAAATAAAAAAAATCCCAGCGGTCATACACTAAACTGCTCGCGACGTTTAAACAAATCGTGTCTTAAAACTTTTCGAAACCTCGGCGCTAAACACGCCTCTCTGACTAGTGGCAAGGATGACAAGGCATTAGAACCTCGGGAATAGAACGCGCGGTTCATTCATTCTTTGGACAACGGGGGTCTTTTTCAGACGCCGGACCTCTGACAGGCAGCTGAGTGTCTACCGCTCCCGGAACGCTTGTTCTCGGTGCCGGGGAGATCAGAAAAATGACAAGAAATAAACGGGGCTGAGAGAGCAAAGCGAGAGTTCACACGTTATTTCG